CTGTATCACTGTCAGTGAGTTCACTTCAAATACAGGACTGAGTAGAAGTACTCCATACAGTTTCTGAGATAGTAAATCTTGATGGGAACAGCCAAACTCATCTTTCTCCCAAGGATAAATTGGTGAGTTTGAACCATCAACCATGTAATCAGCAGCTCAATGCATAACCCACAGAGTCACCAGGACTTCATATGTATGTGTATGCGGAGTCCTGTAATGACACTGTAGGATAAGCATGGGACTGCTAACTGCTAAGATAGTGGGAGAAACCCACCAGCCTCTCCTTAGAAAGCCTGAGTGGGAACCGACTCCACGGCACATAACCAACCAACCAATGTATATACTAGTATGACTGTGTGCCATCAAGTTGGTTCTGTCACACAGGGACCCTGTACAGGGTTCTCAGGCTGTAAATATTTATGGATAGGAGCAGAAAAGCTCATCTTTTTCCCACATGAGTATATATAATAGCATACGAAAGGGCTCTGAATTTATTCAGAATGGTTTAGCAACTGCTGATGTAAATTAGGGAAGACTGTGAGTCCAACAGCAACCGAATCTGAGCACCACGGGAATTTTGCCTACACAGGAAACAAACACCCAAATCCACGATTTCAGTGCATGGCAATATCAACAGTCCTGTGAATGCTGAAATCTTCTGTATGTAGATGGAAAGTTTGAGGATCTTGAGACAGAAACGAGTTAACTGGGAGGACTGTGGAGGGTAACACAAGTCAAAGTGTTGCACTTGGCCATGATCTCCGAGCGAGGCACTGTGGACTCTTTCCTCCTCAGGTCAATATTTTACAGCCACAGTTGATTACTATGCAACTTGTACATGACCTTTCTTTACACCAGCAGTTACTGAACAGTTCTGAATGTGTTTAAAGCCCTGGAATAGAGAAAATAAATTCACAGGGGGGCTTCAGAAAGTTCCTGGAAAAACTGAATTAAAAAAAAAAAAAAAATGGAATTTTTCCACAAAACGTAAGAAGCCCCTATGTGTATACATGAATTTTAATGTCATGACACTTTAAAGGAATTTTCCTTGGGTTTTTTTGTTTCAATCATACATACCTGAAATATCTCTCCTGGTTATTATGCTGATCTTTGCTATGCAATTCAGAGATTTCTCTTAAGGTAGAGGACCAGTAATTATGCTTCGTGAATGGAACCTTTATATGTTCACTGGATACATTTTCTCCATCATTAATGTTTTCAGAGCCTAACTCAATAATTCAAGTTGAGATTCACAATATAAAACAAAAAAGAAATTAATTATTAGGGGGAAAAAAGGCTACTGTGAAGAAATAAACACTTTGTGATTATTTATGAACAAGAAAACACATTACACTTTTTCAGCACTTTAGCAATGATTAAAATATAAGTTACTAAAAACACTTTTTCTATAAGGATTTACAATGATATTATGTAAAGACCTGTAGTTAAGAGAATTGAGTAGAAAGGTATTGGACATAATACACATAGAACATTAAAACAGGAAGTGGGTCTCCATGATAACATTAAAACAGGAAGTGGGTCTCCCTAGTCACAGGTGTGAGAGGACTGCTGAAGTCAGAACAGCCCAGGTGTTTGTGAAGCACTTCCCTGAGACTCCTTCTAGCTGACTGATTCCAATGGAATTCCCTTCAAGCAGGGCTAGTCCTTCCTTCAAAACTTCCCTGCTAGCCTGGTGTCTCCGGACACACTGACCCACCTGAGTCCCATCCCATGGTCCTCAGACCTTTCCTGTGCTGTTCTAGGTGAAAAGGTGGGTGGAGCTAGCATGTTGTTCACAGAGAACACTTATCACGAAGACCATGCAGACTAACTGACGTTGTACTGACACAGAGCTAACACTTTCCTTTTCAGGGTTCCAACTACAGACAGGTGTGAGTTTATTTACAACAAAACAATCAAGTCAAACTTCTCACAAACAGCCTAACACTACTCCCTACAAAATCCCAAACACAATTTCTAAGCTCTCTAAAGTGACTTCTGAGGTAGACAATCAGTATTATGACGCTTAAAGAGCCTCCCGGGCTTTTCAATCAAGAGAGAAATGAAAGATCAATGGAATACATTGAGCTTTACAATCTTAGGTTCATGGGGAGACCAAGACATGTGAGCGCACAGACCGGGAGAACACATATATTTTGTTTAATAATTTATACCCACTTCTAGCACCAAATAGTCAAAGTCAATGAATAAAACACTTTTCTTGACTATAAATATATATTTATGCCATTCTTACCAACTAAGGCCAGGTTTTTCAAGGTCTCCACCATCACGTCTCTGTAGAGCGTCCTCTGAGTAAGATCCAATAGATCCCACTCTTCCTGGCTAAAGACCACAGCCACATCCTCAGCGACAACTGAGTCCTAGAACATCACACAAATGCTAATCAACAAGGTTCAATTTACTCATGTGTATAAGAAGGAAGGACACGATGAAGAGTGCTGGGGAACTCATACAACACTGGGAATTCACAGCCATTTGGCTCACGGGTCTGGGTTTTACCAAGGTCTAATTTAGGGGGTGGAGTCCTGGTGTGGTGCTGTGGGTTAATGCACCAGACTGCAAAGCCGTTTGAACTGCAAGGTTGGTGGTTCAAGCTCACCAGCTGCTCCTTAGAAACCCTATGCAGGGTGGCTATGGGTTGGAATTGACTCGACGGCACTTAACAACAACAACAATTGAGGGGGTGGACTTGTGGTGTGCATTATAGGATTAGCACTAGACTAGGAAACACAAGGTTAGCAGTTTAAACCCACCAACCGCTCCTTGGAAACACTACAAAGGGTGGCGATGAGTCAGAACCAAAAACAAAAAATTTGGGGATGCTGATGAATTGGACTGGTATTGGGCATTTTGAATCAGACAATCTTACGGTTTACAATGTAAGGAATGACAAATTGAAGAGAAATGGCATCTCATTCATCATCAAAAACAACATTTCAAGATCTGTCTTGAAGTACAATGCTGTCTGTGATAGGCTAATAATCATATGTCTACAAGGAGCACCAGTTAATGTAACTATTATTCAAATTTATGCACCAACCACTAAAGTCAGTGATAACGAAACTGAAGAATTCTACCAACCTTTTCAGTCTGAAATTAATCAAACGTGCAGTCAAGAGGTACAGATAAATTACTTGAAACTGTAATGTGAAAGCTGGAAACAAACAGGAAGGATAAATAGTTTGA